ATGTGCTGCTGTGCACTGTTCTGTCATGTTCCATTTTCCCATGGTAACACTGTATTTTGGGTTTGTGTTCTCAGAGTGCCTAAACAATAGGTTTCATCCCACTGCTTTGAGCTTCCTAGATTGCCTGCAATGCACATAATAAAGATTGAATATTTGCTACTGGGATAAACTTTACCTTATCAGTGTCTAGGATACAGATCCACAAATCAGAGAAACTCATCTTGGTTCTTGCCTTAGCTCATGGTCTACTGAGTGCTTTCAGTGTCAGTGGTAATTTGTCAGTTATAGAGTAGGGAGAGTAGGATGTGCTTTTCATCCTAAAGAGAAGAGCTGCTGTGAGAGGCTGAAAACCTGGAAGGGTTAATGTAAACCTGAAAGTTAATGACTCAAACACTGGGCAGAAGAGAAAAGGAATGTTACTATGCTGTGAGATAAGGCAAGGTTAGGAAAGAGGGTCTTTCCAGGCAGGATAGTTGTTTTTTGGGACCACCTTCCTTATCTTGGGTAGCCGTCTCTAAAGCCAAATTTGAGACAATAAATAAAATTTTGTGATTGATTGTTTGGTGTTGTTTCACCTTAATTTAGCCCAAGTTATCCCAAACATCCATCAGCTATCCCAGAGTAGGCAGTCCAGGACTGCCCTCTTGGAACCCGACAGCTGCCCAGATGAAAAATACTCTGAAATCTTTCTGTGATTTTATTATATTTTAATTTCTCATGATAAAGAACAATAATATCTCTAAATTAAAAATTAAGTATTATTGAGACAAGTAAAAGTGATATTATATTTTTTTGCAAGTCGAACTAGGGCTTGTTTGAATGCCTCTGACGTGATACTGAGCTTTTTCAAACAAGACATAAATCTACCACTTTCAGTTGCATATTTAACCTTTGTAGCCTCATTGAATAATGACAGAAGCAAACAAAGAATGGTATGTAACACTTATCTTTTATGCATTTTTTGCAAGGAGTGCAAAGATTGGGAATTAGAACTATTAATAAAGTTTTATTTATCATATTTATCATATTTATCAAACACATACACCCATATGCACACTGGCTTTTTAAAATTTTTGGTGTTCTGAATATCTACAGGCAAAAGCCAGTTTGGAAAAGCAGATGAAGGTAAACATAAGAACAAGAAAAAAATAATAATTTTCACATATTTTAAATTTATTTAATCACTCCAAAATAATTCCTTTAGACATTCTCAGAGAGTGTAACACAGTTTTTCTGCTTACAGGCATAAGCCCATCCATCTCTGTTCTTTTTATTCTGTTTAAGGGAGATGACTTAATATTTCTTTCACATGGAGAGTTCTGCATCTTATACAGAAAGTTGTCAGAATGATCAAATTGAACAGCAGGATAAAATATTTAACATAACCACTGAAAAGCAGAAAAGAAAATTTCTGCAATATTCCTATTCTCTATTAATCAAAAGCCGATTGAGAGTTTCTAACCACTCGTGCTTTTCAAACAATTGATTTCTCACTGAAGCAGCCAAAAAAGGAAAATATTGCAAATCAACCCAAGCCCCCTGTATTTTAGACCACTGAAAAGTTGAAATGTGATTTGCTTTCAGGCACTTTTCATTACTTGATTAATAGAGCTGATTCAGGTTTGGCTCAGTGGTTGCTCTCTCTCTCAAAGGACTGTTTACTCCCCTCTCAAGTATGAAGTCATGAAACAAGGGCAAACATCATCATTGCTGCTTATTCCTGGACAAATAAGTCTGTTCACCTTGGGCCAGAATTAGGGACTAAGCATGATCATTGCTATGGGTGACATGACCTGCTGACAGAGCAAACGAGTTTGAGTCATTGCGCTGATTATTCTTTGGTATTTTATATAAAATTGGCAACTTCAGTGAGAATTTTCAAGGCCAAGTACTGCAGCACACAAGGAGGCAAACACACCTAGTGCGTCCATTCCTTTCTCACTCGCTCACTGCGAAGCCTGCAGCTCAAATTGAGGCCAGCTCCAAATCACCTGCCATGTGAGTTGTGCCAGGTGAACCCAAACTACCTTTTCAGTTCATAAAATACTCATTCAGTCCCAGCTGGGACTGTAAAATATGAATGTTTGGTTACGATGTTGGTAGCATACCCTTTTCATTCTCTTACATATGTATTAAGGAAATAGTTTCACACCCACTCACAGGCACAGTTATATGAAAATTTAGAGCTCTAAGAAAAAAAATAAAATTAAAATCTAACTGTTCCATCTCCCTCTGCTGGAAGATTGACACTACAATTGCTTGTCTAATCCAAATGATGGCTGTTAAAAAAGTGTTTTAGACTTTACCCTGCCGTAAATTCCTATCCTCTCCCTTCATATCCATCTGCCCTGTGGGAAATTTAGGTTCCTCCATATTATCTTCTCCTGGCATTCGATATTCCATGTTGGACAAGTATTTGTGGTAGGATCAATGCAACACAATTCAGTGCTAAAACACTAAAGGAAGGAAGAGCTTCGAAGTCTCCCAGATTACATATCCACTACACCAGTTAACTGAAGAGTGCCGAGATACACAGCTTTTATCACAGAAAATCTTCATGCACTGAAGAGTATTTTATGACACATTTGAGAAATTTTACTGGCATTGCTCTTGAGTTTTCTCTCTCCTTTTGATTTACACACAAGGATTGATGCAAATCTTTGCATTTACAGTGATTCAAATATTCACCTCCCAAAGCACTGGTAACATATTCTGAAAAATATTTAAAATATAACTTTTCAGCAGATAATAACATTCACACATATGTATCTGTACTAGGTGTGTTTCTGCGTGTGTAAATTGGACAGTGCCATGGCATAACACATAGGTCTATTTTCAAGAGTTGGAGGAATGAACATGTTGTCTTTACAGTCCAAACAACTGCTAATAAAATGCTCAGGATGCCTCTGGCTAAGAGGTCTTAAGTGAAAAGAACTGGGTTGAGTTTGCCTTGTAGGCCCAGTGTTGTGACATGACCAAAATTGCCATAGACACAGCAATTTTAGTTGGAACTATACCTGTCACTTTTTAATGAGAAAGAATTAGGATGCTTTGTGAGCTGATAAAACTTTACTGGTTGATCTTTATTGGCATCTGATTTACACAGTTCAACAACCTGCCATTTGTCTTTAAGTCAGAGTAAGGTGTTACTCTGGATAAACTCACTACATGAGTGATAACAGAGGCACAGGCTCCTTTAAAAATTGTCATATATTCCACAGGTGCTACATTGGGATCACCTCAAATGCAGGCTGATTGCTACTAATTTTCATATGATCTCTCTGTATTGGGTATAAAGGGCTGAGGAAAGGATGTATCCTGCTTGAGTAAAATATGAAGAATATGAAAAAAACATGTTTAACACACTAGTCTGTGTTGTGTGACTTCTGTTGCTGACAAAAGATATTTCAGTCACAACCAGAGAAGGATGATTTTTTTAATTAGGTAGGAATGAGAAGTAGTTCAAATAAGAACTTTGGATATATCTGAAATGCAATGTCATACTATAGAAAAGCTTATGCAAGAAGTTATTTAGGCAGAGATGTACATAAAGAGTGAAAAGAACTCTGTACTTGATAATTATTTAAAAAGTTAGCTCTGTACAACTTTACTGTGTCCTCTCTCTCCAGGCTTCTCATACAAGGATTAGTGGTGTTTGATGCTTCCTTTCTAGTCCTGGGGTTATGGTTTGCAGACATCCTGCAGTGCTGGTCCTCTCTTGATTCTCTGCAAGCCAGTACTGAGGTTTCAGGAAGTCATATACTGCCCAGGGGCATTTTCTCTGGGGTAGTACAATAGCACATGGAATATCTACCAGAATGGGAAATCTCTCTTCTGTAATCTGAACTCTGTGTTTCTGAGGAGCCAACAGACAAGAGGGAAGGAACAATTGTTAAATGAAAGCAAATAAGGAGAAAAAATAGTAAAGTCTGTGAGAGGGAAGGAAAAGGGAGAAGAAAAGGAAAAGGGAAGGGGAAGGGGAAGGGGAAGGGGAAGGGAAGGGAAGGGAAG